GAATCATACGCGTCTAAAATAATTTCGAATTTTCATAACAGATGGCGCGCTAGTGCATCCTAAAATTAAATATGTTGTTGTTAGTGTCCATCAAATCAACTTTTGGTGACTATATTACCAATTACCAATTATTTTATTTCCAAAGCGCTATATCCCGCAAGGGATACTTGCGCCAAACAAGGAGAAAAGTTTATTTACATAAGTTATTTACATTATTCAACGCATGAAAACATTACAGATCCAGATTTTGTAGAAAGTTTAGAATATATTTACAAAATGAATTGAACTTTAAATATGATTTTTTATCGGAAATCAAATCGTTAAGTTGACAAACAACTAGTTCATTCTTCATCCTATAATCTTGAAATGCTGGACAATCGATCAGTAGATGTCTTGAGATTTGTTCCTCAATACCACAAAAGCAACTTGAATCATCCACTGCCTTGGGGAAAAAAGCTTATATGACTATATGGTGACAAATATTAACCAATTTGATCAGTTAGTGATCACCACTCTCAGCTCATCTAGTGACCTTCTGGTAGCTTCCTTGATCCCTTCTAAGCCATCTCATTGCAGGTCTTCCTCTCTTTCTTCAATTTCTTTCCAACATCAACATCTTTTCTAAACCATTTGCTCTCATTATATGTCCAAAGTAGGTCAGTCTTTGTTCACGTATTTGGAATTCTAGGAATCTAATAGGATCAATTTCATTAAGATTGAAACATTTGTTCTTTTATCTGTTCATGGTACTCTGAGTATCTTTCTCCATGTCCACATTTCAATTCCTTTTCTTTCATACTTCCTGAGAGTCCACTTCTCACATCCATAAGTTTTTTTTTGCTTATCCCCAGTATACGTGGTACAGGCCATGATAATCATTGTGGGTAGAAGTAGACGACTGCTTTTACTGTACTGCACTACATGTCTACACATGTGAAAAGCAGTTCGACTTTGCACTTACAAATGTACCAGAATAACCGTTTGGTGTTACTTGCGCTCGCTGGTGTGTGTGGTTGGACTTTAACAAGAATCAGGGGCCATTGGAGCATTTTTTTAATCAGAAAAAAGTTCCCAATGTGGGAATCGAACCCTGGTTGTAGCGGTTGAAAACCAACGGTTTAGATCATTCTTCCACTGACCTCCCACATCCATAAGTGACCATGCCTTTACAAATCACTTCTACGTCTTGAATGACATTGCCTTTATCTTTCATAATCTTGTCCAATTTCATCTTTGAGTTCCTTCCTAGTTCTATTATAATTTTTTTACTCCCTGAATACATCATGTTGGTAGATAATATATGTATTAATCTTAAGTGGTATGTGTTTTTATATTAACTAACGTTTAGTTCCTCACTGTCACCATTTGCAAGATAAAAACTAACTAGATAATACGAACACTCATAGACAAAAACTTAAAGGAAGTGGGAAGTATTTGATGTCGCCAGTCGTCTATTTTTTTTTTTATGAAGATAGAGGCTGTTCACACTTGGTTATCTCGTGTGTCTTCAATAAAGGTCACTGTAATATCTTTCAGAGTTATTGTCTGAATCCCAATATACATGCTTACAAGGTAAAACTTCCTTAAGTTTTGTCCATGAGTGTATATTGGTTATCTCGTGTGTCTTCAATAAAGGTCACTGTAATATCTTTCAGAGTTATTGTCTGAATCCCGATATACAAGCTAAAAGGTACAACTTCCTTAAGTTTTGTCCATGAGTGTATATTGGTTATCTCGTGTATCTTCAATAAAGGTCACTGTAATATATTTCAGAGTTATTGTCTGAATCCCGATATACAAGCTAAAAGGTACAACTTCCTTAAGTTTTGTCCATGAGTGTATATTGGTTATCTCGTGTATCTTCAATAAAGGTCACTGTAATATATTTCAGAGTTATTGTCTGAATCCCGATATACAAGCTAAAAGGTACAACTTCCTTAAGTTTTGTCCATGAGTGTATATTGGTTATCTCGTGTGTCTTCAATAAAGGTCACTGTAATATCTTTCAGAGTTATTGTCTCAATCCCAATATACATGGTAAAAGGTACAACTTCCTTAAGTTTTGTCCATGAGTAGATATAGTGTCAAGACACACTCTCGTGTAAGGAGTTTTTGTTTGAGTTACAGAAGCATAATATATCACACACACACACACTATTGTTAGTTTTAAACATTTTTATTATAAATTAGATTCTTTATATCTTACAACACAAAATTATTTACATAGTAAAAAGTCATCAATAAAAAAAGATACAAAGATTGTTCAATGTTTAAAGAATCCCTCATATCGCGTGGAGAAGACCATCAAGCCATCAAGATGGGAGGCTGGAATGGTAGGGCACGGGTATCTTGAGCAATCGGCCAGAGAAGCTGGGTTGGGACGAATGCTGGAGAAGTTGCATAGAGACTCGGAGCTGCCAGTGGTCGCTTTCTGTTCAGGATACTTGGACGATGTAGCTTGCCAAGCAGCGTTGAGAAGAATCCTTTAATTGGCTTGTTGACTTCTTGTATTTTGGAAGCCTGCATGCTGACTATTGGGTATGGAGCAAAGGGTGGTACCATTTGTGGTCTATGGTTCCATGTTTGGGCTGTTCCCATATAGCCGTGAATTTGTGGTGGAGGTGTATGTGGTGGTAGTGGAGGTGGTGGTTTGAATTTGTTTCTAAGGATTCCTCTTGGTTTCTGTGGTCTGTGTGTTGGCGGACCATGTTGTATATGGTAATTGGTGTAGTTAGCGTTTGGTAGGAAGTCTTGGAATCCCATGTCTGTAGGTTGGGAAATGCTTGGGAGATGGTGGTGAAACGTTGTGGCTGCTGGTGGTGGGAATTGATAGAATGATCCTGAATTTGGTTCTTTCAGCCTTTCCGAATCGTAAGTTGATGTGGTGTTGTTCTCGAAAGTTCCATCTGCGTAATTCGGCCCGTATTCTTTACGTAGCTTCTTCCTGCGGTTCTTACGCCTACGACGTCTTTGCTTTCTGGATGCTCTTAACCTTTGCCTCATCCTATCTTCCAGTGGGGATGTCTCGGATGAATCGGTCAAAGTGTCCTTTTCGTGTTTGCGTAACGCGTCATCTGAAATGGTGCTTATATCGTATTTGGTTTCTTCGGTTGGTGGTTCGGAAAGTTCGACGACTTCTGTTTCTTCATCGAATGGTGTTGTCTTCATTTTCTTTTCTTTTGTTGACTCTTCAGCTGGATTGTCTTTGTTCTTATTCTTCGTTTTGCTTGCTAGGTATTCGTAGGAGGGGAAGAAGAGATTATCAGGATCGAAGTGGAGCCAATGGCCCTCTTCAGATTCCATGCTGGATACGTGGGATTCGGTCGATCTGCTTTCTCGACGTTGAGGTATAACGGAATCTTCGATGGTGTCACTTCGTCGTGAGATCTTCGGGAAGATTTTGCTCAGCGGTGTAAGCCATCGTAATCTCTTACGTCTTGGTGAGGATTCGGCAACTTCCTGTGATCCTGAACTTTGATAGCTGTGATTGGGTGAGGATGGCATTGGCGGGATTTGAGTAGGGTCATAGGCCGGTTGGGGTTTAGCCGTAGGGGCAGTGGGTGGTTGGGTTATAATAATAGGAACCGGTATCATACCAGGATAGGGATGTGGAATTGCTCCACCCATCATACCATAATGGGGTGGGAAAACCTGGACGTTGGGATGGGCATTCTTCTGTCCTTTATCGGTTACCACATTAGACATGTGGGCTAGATGCATAGGCAGTCTGTTTCCATAGAGTTGGTAGGGTATCTTGCCATGCCCGCTGCTCTTGCCATGGTGATACATATGATGGTAATAGGGATGGTAATATTTCGGGTGGTATCTCCACATTTTGGATTTTCGGTATTTTCTTGAATGTCGAGGATCTCGTTTTCTGGGGTACCTGATAAACACTCGCATACCATCAGGTCCTCTTTCCGTCGATCCTGAATCATCTTTCTCTGAAGATTCTTCGAGAAGAGATGTGACGTAAGGATTTGAGGAAGATATGTAAGATTGGTGATATGGATAGAAACTCTTGATATGCGATGTCTTGTGGACGTATACCTTCTGGATATCCGAATTCTTATCTGAAGAGGATTTCTTG